AGGGAAGGGAAGGGAAGGGAAGGGAAGGGAAGGGAAGGGAAGGGAAGGGAAGGGAAGGGAAGGGAAGGGAAGGGTTGCCTCTCCATTGGGCTGTTGTGGAAAGGAGCTGATCTGGTTGGGAGCTGGGGACAAGTGATGCCATTGATGACTCGTGGATGCTCCAGAGCCATGTTCCTGCTCTGCGTCTGGAGGAGGGAAGCAGTGGGAGAAAAGACTTGGAGGGTGGAGGAGCTGGGAACAACCCGGGCCATGGAAGGGCCCTATGTGGCCCACACTGGTTCACTGGGATCAGAAGGGGCTTCATTCCCAGCCCAGCTGCAATGCCCAATGCTCCAGTGAGGAGCTGGAGTGTGCGGGGAAAGCTGTGGTGTCCTGGAGCTACATCCCAGGTGGGATCCAGGTTCTGCCCTGGCCCAGGGTGCCAGGTGTGCAGTTCTGCCTCTGCAGCCCCAGAGGTTTTTGCCACCTCAGCACAAGAGCTGGAAAATAAACAGGCAAAAAGATGTGCCAGCTCCATGTCACCAGCTCCGTTTCACCAGCTCCTGGCTCGGTGAAGTGTCAGGTTCGTGCCAGAGTTTGGGATGCTGCGGCTTGGCGAGAGCCCCCAGCAGGGGTTGGTGCTGCCCGGGGGACTGGAGCTGCCTGCGAGGATGGGGTCGGTGGGATCCTGGGATGCCCATCCGTGAGGCTGTGGCAGTTCCCACGGTGGGCTGGGGGCCCTGGCCCGTCCCACGTGTGTGCCCGCCGACCTGGCCGGTTCTCTGAAGCTCCTGGGACTGAGGCCGCCGGCGGACGCTCCTCCTCTGCGGGAGGCAGTCAAGGACTCGGGGTGGGGCTTTGCCGAGCGAGAATCCAGAGTCCGGCCAGCCTGGGGGAGTTGCCAGGGCCGAGCGCCCCGGAGAGGCGAGGCTGCCGCCCACCCGTGAGTCTGTGCCCCCGCGGGTGCGTCCAGAGCGGGGCTGGCCAGGAGCATCTCCTGCTGCCGCGGGAGCGGGTGCCTGGGGACCCGGGGTGAGGGCAGGGGGCTGGGCTGGGGGCTCCCCAGCTGTCATCGGTGGGGACAGGCTCGGTGTAAGTGTCCCTCCGTGCAGGGACCTCCCCCTGTGCTGTGGGACACCTGAGCTGACCGAAAGCTTTGGCCCCCGGAGCCGTGTGCTACTAGAACAGGGCATTTCCCCTCCTTTGTCCCTCTGGGACAACCCCTGGTGCAGAGACACTCACGTGCAGTGGGGCCAGCCCAGGCCTGACTTCCAGGGGCCCAGGAGCCCTCATCCCCCACACCCCCGAACGGCCACAATTTGCCCGTGGGGGACGTTGTGCTGCCATAATTTGCAGTGTCCCCCACCCATTTGTGGTGCTGGGTTCCATCCCAGCCCTTTCCAGCCCGGGGACCCTCAGGGCGGGGCACTGAGCTGTGCTGCAGGAGAGCTGGTGTTTACGCTGCTGGGTGACACAGCCTTTGTCTGTGCCTCAGTTTCCCCCAGCATGGAAAGGCACTCCTGGCAGTGGGGAGGGAGCCCTGGCTGTTCCTTTCTCCTTGTGCAACCAGCCCTGCTCTCGCCACTGCCAGCGGAAGCAGCTGGAGCTGCCCGTTCACCGGGAGCTTCCTCAGAGCCTCGTGGGACTGAGGCTGGGAATGGACTGTTCCTTCCCCCTGCCCTGGACTGAGGCTGCGGAGGAGTTTGGCTCGAAGCAAGTGGCTCTCAGCTCCTCCTGGCCAATGTCCCCACAATGGGCTGGCTTTTGGAGACATCTGCAGTGGGGTGCTGGGCTGTGGGGAAGGTGCATGAGGGGCTTGGAACAGAGTGTGGGGACAGGGACACTCCCCGGAGGCACTTTGAGCTGGAGCAGGAGGATGCTGCACCCCAGTTGTGCCCACTTACTTGGGCTGCTTTGTTCCTCCATGGAGGCAGAAATCCAGAGCCCAATTAGGGGGCTAATTATGGGGCTGCACTCATTACCTTCTGTTCTGTGCTGGTGACCCCTGTTCCCCATGGGCTGCCTGCTCCTTGGGTGAAGCTGCTGCCTGTGAGAGCTAGGGGTGCTGAGCAGCATCTTGTTTTCCATACAGGATGGGCCGTTGGCAGCCAGACATTCCCCAGCAGCCAGAAAAATCTTTGGCCACCCGGAGTGGCCAAATGCCCAGCCTGGCATGTGGCCAGGCCTCGCCCTTCCCAGCTCACCCCATAGCCCTGGTTGTAGATCCTGGAGGTCGAGGCTTGGAAATGCCCGTCGAGGGTGGCATCAGGGTGTGATGTCCCTGTGGCTCAGACAGATCCCTGATGCTGCTCCCCCCAGAGCTGGTGATGTCCCCCGTGTCTCCAGAGCTGTACTGGATGGAGAGGCCACACTCTGCTGGAACCTAGAGAGAGATTTTGAGCAGGAGCTGGCTGTCTCTGCTGCGAGTCAGCCCTGCCCTGCCGGGGAGCGCGGCTCTCTGGCTCCAAGTGTTTATCTCCAAGGGAGGAGCCGTGTCCCTGGGCAGGGTCAGTGCTCCAAGTGCAAAGTGCCTGCAGATCAGATCGGGGGCACCTGCTCGGCACCAGCCTCTTAGGGATCTGACTACCCCTCCAAAGGACTCCTGGGCACAAAAACGAGGGTTCTCCTTAAAATAAGCCCAGCATGTGCTTCAGAGCAGCGGCCCCAGAGGTACTGTGCTCCTATGTGTGGGGCCCGCGGGTGGGCTCAGAGCGTCCCCTGCACCTCGGTGGTTGGGACAGGAAAGCGTCTCGGGCGCCGTCCTAGGAAGCCCAGCCTTGGTTTGGGAAGGCTTAGGAGGGCTTTTCCTTCAAAGCTACTCTGATGAAGCCAAGTCACTGTAAACACTTTGGATGGGGCTCAGGGTGTCTGCCCCATCCGGCTGGGCACTTGCCCAGGCTCAGCTGCTTCTTTTCCAGGGCAGCACTGTCATATTTATATTAGAAAAAACCCAGGCAAACACAGGAGCCTTTTAGCCTCCTGCCAGACCTCTGCTACAAGGTACAATATCTCAAGTTCGCTGCAACTTGCTTGAAGGTGACACTGTCTTCAGGGACGCTTTTCTTGTCCTACCAAGCAGGGGACAGGGCAAGCTGGTACCTGCCTGGAGGAAGGTGGGGAGCTGCTTCCTTCTCACAGTGCTGGAAGAGCAGTCTGGGCCCATTTGAGCCCTGAGTGTTTCCCAAGGCTTGGTGACAAATCCTGGGGTGTTGGTGACTGGTTGTGGGGTGTTCCCATGAGCTGAAAGTTTTTTCTGAGGTCCTGTCAACTGCATTTCTTCTGCTTCCAGCTCTGGGCTGCTGCTTGGGGTGTCCCAGGGCAGCTGAGGTGTCCTGGGGCTGGTTTGGGAGGATTTTGTACCTGGCTGATTCTGTCCTGGTCAGGTTGGGGTGTCCCTGTCCCTGCCTGTCCAAAGGGGACAATGCACAAGTGTCCCCTGATGCCAAGGCTGCCCACAGGTGTGCACTTGTGGGTGCTCGGGGCGGGGGGTCAGTCCCAGGAGTGTATCCAGCTGCTGTCCCACTGTCCCATCCAGGGGTGGTGGCTTTCCCCAAGCTGTGCCCTGACATGTCCCCTCTCCCCAGGCCTCAGCCAGCAGGGGCCATGCGATGCTCTCTGAAACGCTCCCTCACTGTTCTACTCGCTGCCTCCTTCTTCCTCCTTCTCCTCTTCCTCCAGGGAAGCAGCCGGCAGGAACAAGATCTCCTGGAGGTGAGTCCCCAACCAGTGACATCCCACGGGAGAGGCTACTGATGCATCCTCTATCCCTTACTGCCCCACATGAACCCCAGCCTCAGCTCTACTTCTTCCCTGCCCCATGTCACCCCCAGCAATTCCCCCCCACACCTTCTTCTCTCCCTAGGGTTGCCCTGGGCAGCTGGACCCCCCTGAATCCAGTAGCTGGGAGGGCAGGACGGGCTTCCCTTCGCTTCTGGGTCCCTGCTGTCATCACCCCTTGCTGCATGGTGCTCAGGGGTGTGACCTGTTGCTCCCATGCAGGTACAGCTCAGGGGCCTGGCTCCTGACACAATCCTGCAGCTGCTGCAGCCGGAGGGAGCCCAGCACATCCTCAGGGACACAGCTGAGCTCTCTGCACTCCGCAACATCTCCTACCGGCTCCTCGCTGGCTCCCTGGCTCCCCAAAAAAGTGAGTGGTCCTGGACCCTCTGGGTATGCTCATCTGCACATCCCAAGATGGACCTGCCCCCTGACTGCTGCTGGGGCAGGGCGGGGCTGTGTCCTGCCTTTTTGGCTGGGGACCTGCCCACAACCTCCACAGCCTTCATTGCCTGCTGTGGGGATGGAGGAATTGGGGAAGGTCCACATGCTCCACAGTTTCTACACCTTGGGACTGGAGTGACCACAGGTATTTTGGGCTTCCCGGACTTCTCTTTGAGGGGTTGCTGATATCTCATCTCCCTGGGATTGAGGTTCCAGTGGAGATGGTGAGCTGGACCACTGGGACAACCCCACAGTGTGGGAAAAGTGGGCCAAGCTCTTGGACAGGTGCACAAGAAGCAATTCCCATGCAAATCCTGTGGGAAGGAGCTCAGGGCAACCTGTCAGGCTGTGCTGGAACCAGCACAGGAATGGTGCTGTCCCAACCATCATCAAGACAAGCTGAATCAAGGCAGCCACTGCTGGGCCATGGGGAGGACACAAGGTGCCTGATCCCAGTGTGGGAGTATCTCCATGAGGTATCGAGTGGGGAATGCTTCCAGGATGTGCACCCATACCAATAAGCCATTTCTGCCCTGTAGACTCTCTCTGCACTGTTACTTGCCTGGGTTTGGCTTTTTTAAGGTGTTTTTCAGGAATATTTCTTCAGTGGAGCCCCTGCCTCTTCAGCCTGCCTCTTGCTGTCATTTGGGCCAGTTTTGGGCCCCTCCTGAGATGCTGAAGGCTTCAGCTTCCAGAAGGGGCCACCAACCTTATACATGGGGTTACAAACAGCACTGACCCTGCAGGCTGGCCATGGGAAGAAGTTATTGGAGCCCTTTCATTATGTCTTGAAGGGAAAAACATCACTCTGATGATATCAGGTTACCCCTCTGCCTGTTCACGCCTTTCCTTTGCCTTGCAGAATTCCTGGCAGTGGGAATGGCGTCCGTGCAGAGGCCGCGTGGTTTCTACCTCCTGGCCACGCTCCAGTCCCTCTTCAGCCAGTCCACGGAAGAGGAGCTGCAGGAGATGGTGGTGGTGGTGCACCTGGCTGACACCAATCCTGGCTGGAATGTGCGCGTTGCCGCCACCATTGCCCAGAAGTTTGCTCGCCACATCCTCCTGGGCCGGCTCCTGCTCATCCATGCTCCCCCTGAGTTCTACCCCACCCTGGAAGGCCTGAAGAGGAACTTCAATGATGCAGAGGAGCGGGTGAGGTTCCGCTCCAAGCAGAACGTGGACTATGCCTTCCTGCTCGCTTTCGCCGCCAACCTCTCCTCCTACTACCTGATGATCGAGGACGATGTGTGGAGCTCCAAGTCCTTCCTGACGGCCATCCGCAGGGCACTGGCTTCCCAGGAGGGCTCCAACTGGGCCACCCTCGAATTCTCCAAGCTGGGCTACATCGGAAAGCTCTACCGCTCCAGTGACCTTCCTCGCCTGGCTCACTTCCTCCTCCTCTTCTACCAGGAAATGCCCTGTGACTGGCTGCTGGTCCACTTCCGCCAGCTGCTCACCCAGAAAGATGTGATCCGCTTCAAGCCATCCCTCTTCCAGCACATGGGCCACTACTCCTCCTTCCAGGGCACTGTCAACCGGCTGGAGGATGAGGATTTCCAGGCCGATGCCTTGGACCTCCCGGACAACCCGCCAGCATCCCTGTACACCAGCATGTCCATCTTTGAGAATTACGAGCCCCTCAAGGCCTACAGCTCGGCACAGGGGTACTTCTGGGGCAAAGACCCAGCAGCTGGCAGTACTTTCTCCATCGTGTTCCAGCAGCCAGCCCGAGTCAGCCGGGTCCGGGTGCGCACGGGCTCCATGGAGCGCCCAGGCGATTTCCTGCACGCAGGGCTGCTGGAGCTGGGCCAGCGCCGGCACCGCAGCCAGGACTGCGCCTCCTACATCCCTGTGGGCTCCTTCAAGAAGGGGACCCTGGAGCAGCGGGGCCTGGAGCGGGTCCTGCCTGGGCCCGTGGAGTGCGTGAGGATCCGGGTGACCCAGGACCAGAGCGAGTGGCTCATCATCCAGAGCATTGACATCTGGACCACAGCGGGCACTTGAGCACAACATCTGTGGCAGGATGTCGAAGCAGCTGGATTTGGTTCTAAGAGGTCCTTTATTTTTCACACTGCCTTTTGGATAAGAAATTTAAATTATTGACTCTCATTGCCCCATGTCTGGAGAGATGGGAACCACTGCTAAGGCTAAGCAGTAGAAAACCTTTCTTCCCAGGAAGGATGATGTACAGGACGAAACTGGTCAGCTAATTAACAAACCAAATAATTAATCAGGCAGTGGTATTTTTTGGAGCCTCTCCACACTTTACCTGCTTTAAGTTTTCTAACTTTTTCGAAAACTCTCGATTTCTAACTCCCTCTTTGATCCCATTTCCTAGCTGATCCTGGAGGGGTCAGGGGAAGGCCTGGGGATGCTGCTCACTAAACCCTTCACCCTGCAGGCTCAGCAGGTTTGTGGCAGCAGCAAGCGCCCACTGGTGCCCGGCCATTTCCCAGTGCCGATCGGGGGAAACGGCCACCAGATGGACCCAATCAGCCCGGCCCCGGGCAGCACCTCCCACCAGCGCTGCTTGTTCCCGCCCTCGAAGGGAAAAAAAAACAATTCTCGGGAACCTCTCTTGGTGTTTTTGCGGGGCTCACACGGAGAGGGAAGGACAGGCAGGATGGTGCTTCTAAAAAGGCGAGGAAGGAGCAGAATTGAGCACCAGGGAACAAAGATAAGCCAAGGAAAATGTGACCTCGGTATAATGTGAAGTTCTGGGTCTTTTTAGCCCAGTGAGGTGCTGAAGGGTAACTGGGGTACACACAGGATCCCAAAAACTGCTGTTTGGGTTTGCCTGGCAGGGTCAGCTTGGAGGGCTGGATGCTCCACTAGCAGCTGCAGACCCCAGCACACTGGGCAGTGACTGGCACCTCTCCCAGTTAGGATTTTAGCAACAATTTCTCAGCTTCCTGCAAAGGAAGAATTCCAGTCTGCTCAGCATTCCCATGGGATAACCCGAGAAGTTAAGTCACTAACCTATGCCAAGCAGGACTCTGGTCTGCCCATGTTCCAAGCCTGGCTCTCCTGGAGCAGGACAGTCACTGTCAGGAGGGAGCAGTGCCGCTCCTGCAGCGCCATAACCACTCCTCTGGTTTGAAGTGCATCTGCTGGGCACTGGGAGGCAGATGGAGAGCCCCACACCTGGCATATGGGGTTTTTCCCCTGAAAAAAAGCCACTCAGGTAGATCTTTGCATTTAATATGGAGGTGCTACACCATAAACTCCAAATGTTCTCCAGTGGGATCAATAGAGAGTGGCCAAACCACTGCAGCTTCCTCCACACAGCCCAAGTCCTGTCAGAGCTCTTGGAGTGTTCTGAGCAGCACAAGTGTCCAGTTCCCAGGGCCCTGACAAGTGTTTCCAGTGCTGCAGGAGAGCCTTTGCCCCAGTTCTCTTGGACACAAATGCTGCTGCCCACTGTGGGAGAACACTAAGGGTCATCAGTGTGGGTACAAATCAAGAGGTTTCACCCCAGGAAGTTTTTATCTACTGGTAAAGCGCAAAAAGATAGAAATGTAAATCAGCTTTTTACCTGTTGGACTCTTACTGATGTAGGTACTAAGTTTTGTGATATTCACATGCCCAGAAGCAAGCTGCAGTCTCAGTTATGCTGGTGTAAACCTGTACAGACTCCAGAGGCATGGAAATCTCTCCATTTACATCAGGATAAGCAGAAGCAGCAGTGCACACTGGCAGAAACCCCCTCCTTTGTTCCTGTGCTGTTCCTGTGTGGCTCAGCACCACAATGCCCAAGGACCACCAGTGCATCCTGGAGAAACATCACATAATTTATCCCACATCAAAATTCTCCCACTATTTTTATCCCAGGAAGACTCAGCCAGCTCGCAGCACTCTGTTCCCAGCCCCTGTCCCTTCTGGGATGGGCTTATGGAGTCCAGTGTTTGGCCGAGCTCCACTTGGCAGCCATAGCCCAGGGGCCAGCATGGCTGGGCAGGGGAAGGGCAGGGGACACGACCAGAGAAACCTTTGGAGCTGCTGCTCCCTCTTAAGATGGTGAATCAGGGAGGGTTGGAGGTTCCATTCCAACAGCGGGGTGTCTTGCTGCAGCAGGGCCTAGCTCAGCATCTTGTGGCGGTCGAACACCGTCTTCCTCTGCTCCTGCACCTGCCTCTTCCAGCGCTGCTGTGCCCCCTCCACCCGCTCCAGCACTGTGTTGGCCCTGGCGCCAGCCAGGGTGGGTACTGTGGCCAGGGAGTGAGTGTCCTGCAAGGAAAGGAATGGGGCTGGAGACCAAGCAATGCCCAGCCCAAGCATAGAAGGAGGCAGCTGACTTGGGGAGAAACTGCACCTGGAAGAGCAGTTCAAGGTTTGAGTTGTTCTGATGAAAAACCTCTTTTCAGAGCTCCTCAGCACCAGCCCCCAAGTCCTTGCTCTTGGGGATCACCCACAGTCCAGATAAAAGTCCCCCAGCAGAGGAACTGCACAAAGCATAGAGCTCTGCTGGAAACCCACTCTTGGAGTCTGCCAGGAGCCACAGTGCCAAGGTGAACCAATCTCCCCACTAAAACCAGGCTGACAATGGATGGAGATCCATCATGGCACAGGAACAAGGCCTATCCCAGAGGACTTAGTCCAGCATACTGGAGTGAGATAAACCTCACTTAACACCAGGCATGTACCATGTGCACCCAGACCTGGATCTGAATTACTGCTGCAGAGCAGGGTGCAAACCCATGACTTTGGGATACAATTCATCTCCTCCTGCAGGACCTCCTTCTTCAGCAGAGGGAGGCAATGGATGGACTGTGGACACTGGAGCAACTGCTCCTCACATCAGAGTATGAAGGAATTGGGCCAAATAGTTTATACTCACAACAAAGTACAAATAGGACGGTCCAACCTACTGCTGCAACTGCATGAATTTTATGCAGCAAGAAATTCTTCCTCTCCTAAAACTGGTGTGTGACAAAGAGGGAGGGAGTGGTTCTTTCTTTGCTGCTGTGTCTTAATTATTTTGCCCATGGTTTGTATGCCAGTGTCCCACAAAAAGATGGAGTTTGAATGAAACTGTGCTCAGGGGAGAAGCACAAGGAACAACAGCCTGGATACAACCCAGGGCCCAGCCCCAGAGCAGGATCAAACAGCACCTCATAGGCCAATGTTTTAAGTGTCTAGAAGATGTTTTAGCCAACACTTAAGGTCATCCTTCCCTGGAAGCTCAGCACCACAGAAATCCACCTGGGACACTGCATAAACAGGATCCGTTTGACTTTTTTTTCCCTCTAGATGGATAAACCAAATTCTGGCCAGCTGCTACAAAGTCCCCTCTGCCCCTGAGGGCAGGGCTTACCTTGGGGTCATTACACAGAACTCTGAATATTCTTTGTGCTTCTGCATGACATGCAGAGATCTGAGTCTAAATGTTCACCTGCGTAAGTGCCCCCAAAGCAGCAGTGCTGGACCCTCACTGGATCAGAGGAGACAAGCAGGAGGTCACTGTTTCCCTGTCCCCCATTCTCCTGTCCCCCTGTCTGCAGCCCCTGCCCCCTCACCTCGCTGTCCTCCTCATTGTGCAGGGGCTGGGTGTAGGGGTCTGGCTTGCGGATCAGGGGGTCCACGAGCACCAGGAACGCCATGTAGAGCAGCAGGGCCCCCACCACCGACAGGTAGATTATGATGATCACCTGCAGTTGAGGACAGCGCAGGGGGAAAGGATAAGCAGTGTAGGTAAGAAGCACCACAGAGGTCAGGAAGGTCCTTTGCAGTTGCCTCTGATGTGTGATCTCGTTCTCATTTTGCTCACAAGAGTCTCTTGCTCTTGCCAGGAGGCCGAGGTTGTGCCATCACTGCACAAACTGTTCTGACACTCACTGTGCCAGCTGAGGGCATGCTCTGCACATAAGGGACAACAAGATAGGACCCTGGTCAGAGATGCTTGGCACTCTTGTCACACATCCCCAGCAAGAACACTGGGCTCCCACACAGCTCCTCACTACCAGGAATGCCCCTATCTCAGACACAGAATCGCAGAAGTCACAGAATACCTGAATCACTGCGTGAGGTTGGACATGTCTAAGATCATGGAGTCCAACCTGCGACCAATCCCCACCTTGTCACCCCACCCAGAGCACTCAGTGCCACATCCAGTTTTCCTTGAACACCTCCAAGGACAGTGACTCCCTGGGCAGCCCCTTCCAGTATCCAACACCCTTTTTGTGAATAATTTCTTCCTAATGTCCAACCTAAACCTCCCCTGGTGCAGCTTAAGACCATGTCTTCTTGTTCTGTCACTAGCTGCCTGGGAGAAGAGGCCAACCCCCACTTGGCTACAGCCTTCTTTCAGGGAGTTGTAGAGTGAGCCCCTGGCACTGCCACTATGTACTCACTGTGACAGTTTTCCTTCTGAAAGAATACTTTCTGGGCTCTTCTGCAGGAACCTACCAGTGTGGCACAGCAGGGGCAGGACACAGGCAGGGGCCTGAGCTCAGTACCTTGATGGTGGTGGTGCTGCGCTCCTCGTACTTGCACTCGCAGAGCAGGCAATAGGCCTCCACGTCATTCCCGGGCACTGGCATGGGCTCCACCACGTGCAGACAGTTGCTGCAGCACAAACAAACCACAATCAGCAGCAGCACAAGGTGAAACCAGTGCTCTGTGCAAGGACTCTGGGGTGACTTTGTCTGTGTCCCAGCTTTCCTGTCAGACTGGTAACACTGATCTGGTGTTAAGAGCTCCCCTCACAGCCCAGCTGGCCCAAAATTCCTGCGATAGATTGTCCCAGCACCTTTTGCAGGGATCCGGTCCAGGTGGAAAGGATTGGAGGGCACACACTACATCTGCCAAGAGCGGTGGGTAAATGCATCATCCCAGATTCCTCGATTTCTGCTTAAAAAAAAACACCCCTGGCCTGGGTTGAGCATCACCCACCAAAGCTGCTCCCTCTGCAAACATAGACAGGGAATCCATTCCTCAGCATCAGCTGGGAACTCCAGAGTCTGGCTGTCATGGACCGACCCCTGAGGCTGCTCACTCACACTCACCAGTCCTTCTGGGACACATTCTTGTTGTAGATGTGCCCACTGATGTTGCGGTACGGAGGGCAGATGCACTTGCAGCGAATGTCCTCAGAGCTCTGCAGGACACAGGAGCCATGTGAGGGAGGGGACAGAGCCCTGTCCCCTCACACCCCACTCTGCTGTGCCCCACACACGGCTCAGTGTCACCCACCTTGCTGGCCTGTGCTGGAGGACACAGGACACAGCCCAG